AACAAATAAAAAACTGAAAAGTGGGTCGTGCAATATTATTTGGCCCCCTTGCGCTAATACTTTGTAGCGCCACCTTTTGCTGCAATTACAGCTGCAAGTCGCTCTCTATCAGTTTTGCACATCGAGAGACTGGAATTCTTGCCCATTCTTCCTTGCAAAACAGCTCGAGCTCACTGAGGTTGGATGGAGAGCGTTTGTGAACAGCAGTCTTCAGCTCTTTCCACAGATTCTCGATTGGATTCAGGTCTGGACTTTGACTTGGCCATTCTAACACCTGGATACGTCTATTTGTGAACCATTCCATTGTAGATTTGGCTTTATGTTTTGGATCATTGTCCTGTTGGAAGATAAATCTCCGTCCCAGTCTCAGGTCTTTTGCAGACTCCAACAGGTTTTCTTCCAGAATGGTCCTGTATTTGGCTCCATCCATCTTCCCATCAATTTTAGCCACCTTCCATGTCCCTGCTGAAGAAAAGCAGGCCCAAACCATGATGCTGCCACCACCATGTTTGACAGTGGGGATGGTGTGTTCAGGGTGATGAGCTGTGTTGCTTTTACGCCAAACATATCGCTTTGCATTGTGGCCAAAAAGTTCGATTTTGGTTAATCAACCAACAGGTGGCTGCGCTTCACTGCTTTGGCTTTACATAGATTTACATCATTTGACATTGAGACATGAAGCTACAGTCGCTGGTGTGTGTGCTGCCAGTCAACGGCAAATGGGATTGAACATGGATTTCACTGGAATCGTTTGAATTTCTGTGGTAGGTGTAATACCGCAAAGTCTATATTGACACACCTGGTGGTGTTGCCATAGCTCGGAGGCTACCACGAGGGCACCACGTCATGAGCTTTTATTAAACCTACACAGACATGGAAAGCGACACTGCAATAACCACAAACCCTATAAACGACATTAGTCGCCTCACATTGGAGTTTCGTGAGAGGGACCGTGCCACTATTGCAGACCTCCGTAAAGAAGTCCTTCGCCTCACTGCAGAACTACAGGAAAAACAATCACTCGTGTCCAAACTCTTTGATGTCGCCGGCGGGCAGCACTCACGACTTATGTCACTGAGCGCTGCATACTGTGACACTGTCGTGTGGGAGACGTCTGTCAGCTCTGGACCCTCCTGTTCTACACCTAAGCTCCCGGTTCCGAATGAGGAACCCGCAAACTGCGAGGAGCCATCCAGCGCCGTGGCCCATGTCCTAAGCCTGTCAAACCGCTATGCAGCCCTCTCCACTGACATCCCAGCCCCCTCAGCAGAACCTCTGGACTCTGCAGCGTACTCTGCCGTTCGTGGATCTAAGTCCACTGCGAGAAAAACGCTCCTAAAGGAAGCCGTCCTCAGACGAAAGAGTGGTCATTCCCCTTCTCTGACCCCAGTGCATCACCACCGCTTACCTCCACCGGGTCAGCAGCAGCGACCCGAGCCTGCTCCTCACGCCGCTCCAGCGTCCCCGAGCACACAGCGTGGGTTGCCCGGAGCTGAGAATCAACACCCCCGCTCCCCTCCATGTGTTCAGCAGCGCCCTGGTTCGGACTCATCCCTGGATGAGGTGGAGATGAACAGCCGACTGTGGCCCACTAGAGTTTTCTCTACGATGTTGGTAAAGTCGTTTCTGTAGAGTTTGTTTGGTTTCTCCAATATAGTGGTCAGTGCACTCCTCTTCACTACATTTAATTGAATACACCACATTGCTCTGTTTGTGTCTGGGTGTTTTGTCTTTGGGATGCACTAATTTCTGTCTTAACGTGTTGAAAGGTTTGAAATACACAGGGATTTTGTGTTGCCTAAAGATTCTTTGTAGTTTCTCTGATCCCTGTGTATTTCAAACCTTTCAACACGTTAAGACAGAAATTAGTGCATCCCAAAGACAAAACACCCAGACACAAACAGAGCACTCCACTTGAGCATCCCAGCAGACAATAGGTCTGTGACATGCTAAGGAGTTAGGGTCGTTAGCCTCAGCAGGGTTGTTAGATCTGCTCCCTTCTACATCAGACCTTAGATTGTTTATGAGTTAGTATCAGGATTAGGGTGTGGCTAACCACACCCATAGGTTATAAATCTCCAACGTGCGGCCCGAGAATTCATTCCCTGAAGAAGTCCACTAGTTTAAGGACGAAACGTCGGGAAAACTTGCTAAGAAGTACAGATGATGGGTGAGAAACCTTCCTTTGCATTATCTTAAAGAATCCGAATACATTACTAAACATGTTTCCACGCTGGTATTCAGTATTCATTACCAGAGTTTTCTCTACGATGTTGGTAAAGTCGTTTCTGTAGAGTTTGTTTGGTTTCTCCAATATAGTGGTCAGTGCACTCCTCTTCACTACATTTAATTGAATACACCACATTGCTCTGTTTGTGTCTGGGTGTTTTGTCTTTGGGATGCACTAATTTCTGTCTTAACGTGTTGAAAGGTTTGAAATACACAGGGATTTTGTGTTGCCTAAAGATTCTTTGTAGTTTCTCTGATCCCTGTGTATTTCAAACCTTTCCACTTTCAACACTGACCTTTTCAGTGTTAACCTTTTCCACTATTTCAAAAGTCCACTAGTTTAAGGACGAAACGTCGGGAAAACTTGCTAAGAAGTACAGATGATGGGTGAGAAACCTTCCTTTGCATTATCTTAAAGAATCCGAATACATTACTAAACATGTTTCCACGCTGGTATTCAGTATTCATTACCAGAGTTTTCTCTACGATGTTGGTAAAGTCGTTTCTGTAGAGTTTGTTTGGTTTCTCCAATATAGTGGTCAGTGCACTCCTCTTCACTACATTTAATTGAATACACCACATTGCTCTGTTTGTGTCTGGGTGTTTTGTCTTTGGGATGCACTAATTTCTGTCTTAACGTGTTGAAAGGTTTGAAATACACAGGGATTTTGTGTTGCCTAAAGATTCTTTGTAGTTTCTCTGATCCCTGTGTATTTCAAACCTTTCCACTTTCAACACTGACCTTTTCAGTGTTAACCTTTTCCACTATTTCAAAAGTCCACTAGTTTAAGGACGAAACGTCGGGAAAACTTGCTAAGAAGTACAGATGAGGTTGTACAGAAGTTGTTGTACAGGTTGTACAGGTTGTACAGAAGGTTGTACAGAAGTTGTACAGAGGTTGTACAGAAGAAGTACAGATGAGGATGAAGAAGTACAGATGGGGTTAACACTGACAGTAAAACTCAGGACAGAAGGCCACAGATCTAATCCAGCGTTTGTCTCAGTGTCTCTTCCTGCAGGTGGACAGCTGTCACTGCAGCCCAGAAGTACTGCAGCTTCTATACTCCGCGATGCGGCGCTAACACCAAGGAACCGTCTCGGTTCCATTTCAAGAGAAGAGAACCCTTTGTCCCACACAACGGACAGTTCAGAAGCAACAGGAGAAATATCTGCATCCAGTGGAAGAAAGACGGAAAACTCACAAATGGTGTAAATGAATCATTCAATAACGGCAATGATCATTTTTCAACAATAATACATCCGTACGTATAATAGAAAATATGTAGTTTATTAAAAATTATAAAACACATACATACAAAACAAAAAACATATCTAAAACACTGTCTGTATTCCTTCAGGGTCTATCTAATGAATCAGTGCCGTTTGCTTCACGTCTCATTTTATGTAAAGTGCAATAGAACACACTGCGTTTTCACTTCTCTCGCTCCTGATAAATGTAAAAATAGTGTGTCAATACTGTTTTTTCAATACAATATAATGTAACCAAGTGCTGCATATTATGGTATGTGCAAAACAAGCTATGGACAAAGTAATTAAACACCTTAAACATATTTGAATACATCTTCAAAGTTATTCTTCCCACCGTTGGTAATTAGAAAACCATTGGACTAAGATCTTTCAACAAATCTTCATGACCATTAATGGGTAAACACTGTTATAGGTGAAAACATGAAATAGATGAACTGGTGCAAGTGATCTGTAAATTGTGTAAATAAACACGTTTTTCATAATTCTTTCATCATGTTTGTTATTTCTCTACTGTTCCCATGGTAACCATAAACTGTATATATTTTGAGTGGATTACCCAAGTGCTGATGTCACCCATAGTGTTCGCTGAATGTGGAAGAAGCTGATTTGAACATAAGATAGCTGGAGCAGCAGATGCAAACTAACGAGTTGCTAAGATGGTTGCTAAGGAAAGCTGGGGTCTCCTTATGAATTAAGGCATTTGATTGGTTAATCCTTATGACTCATGTCTGGATTTACAAAGAAACCAGGATCATAGAGAACTGCTTAAAAGGAGTTTACTTTTCAATGTAAGTAAATAGGAGCCAGAGTAAAACAATGAGCTAGCGGGTTAGCATTGTCCATCTATATACAGTTAATGATACTAATATTCTTTATTGGATTAAAACAAGTGACTTCACCCAGCCTTTTGAATCTCTCAGGTGACTGGTGTAGTGATGGCCACGCATTCAGTTGCATACAAGTGTAAACAAATAGCCTCAAAGCTGTGTTGAATAGGGTAGTGTAGGATTCTTCAGATCAAATTCCAATAACATAAAACAATGTCCTAAATGAAATTGTATTTGCAAACTTTTGTGTTGATGTGCATAATGTGATTGTCAAAAGTGCTCTTAAATGCTTGTTTAGTGTAACTAAACAAAACATGTGCAGCGAGGGACTGTGTATTGCTCCCCAATATAATGAGTGAGTGTGTAGAGTATATCTGTCTAAATACATACATTTCTAATACAAGTTTGGTTTTACAGTGTGCTCTTAAATGCATCACTGCCCGATATCTCATTCCAATCCGCACCTACTGGTCTTTCACACCTTTTTACTGGGGTTAACGTGAGTCTTTATCAATCTAAAGAAAATGGAGTAGGAGGCAGTTTTTTTCCCAGTGCTGGAACATGCATAAACACCTATTGACTGCTTCCTAACTTCATTATGATTAATTCATTCTGATTAATGCGGACGATTACTCACGTCCGGATCAAAGGTAAAAAAAACACTTTGTTGCAGAGTCATTTGTGTGATGTGTGTGTTTTCGCCCTCAGCAGCAGAGAGTCCAGCTTGTCCACTCGGAGCCGCAGTCCCCTCAGACTCTGCTCTGTCTCCAGACCTCGCTCTTGGAGACTTTGGTCCCGAGTTTGAAAGGAGCAGCGAAGACGGACCTAGAAAAATAATGTAATTAAATATATTTCTGTGCAGCCCTAAATCACAACAACAGTCGTCTTAGAGGACTTTACAAAGTGGACAACAGATCAGAAAATCAAACAGTTCAACACAGTAAATGTAATTACGAAAAACACATAGAGCCATCGGTCCGTAGGGAGCAAATGACCATTCATAAATTAAAGGAAAAGAAAGTAAATAAGTATTTCAGACGACATTTTTTGACTCAAATTTTTAGTAGTGATAGGATCTGTTGTCAAAATAGATTGGATTTCCCAGAGTGCTTGGATCATCCCGAGTCATCCATCCATCCATCCATTTTCTACCCTTTAATCCATTTCTGGGTCACGGGGGTGACAGTCAGAGATGCCACCCAAGTCTCATAGCACCAGCCCCTCACTGACCCTCTGCAGGTGGTGAGTCCACAGGAGGACAGCTGCTCTCTGAGTGTGAGCATAGCCTTGATCTTTCAGTGGGGGCTTTTGGGCAAAGTGGGGTTAAGTGTCTTGCCCAAGGACACAACGACAGCAGTCATCAGTGGGAGTCGGTGGAGAAGGTGCAGAGGTGGGAATTGAACCCACGACCTTCTGGGCTTAAGGCCAATGCTCTACCAACTGAGCTACTGTCGCCCCTTTCATCCCGAGTCAATGGTGCCTTAAAACACCTCTTGTTGTGACCAGTCAATACAATACAATTACAATACAATTTATTCTTGTATAGCCCTAGGTCACAACAGAAGTAATCTCAGAGGACTAAACAAAACCATTGAAATCACCAACACAGGTCAGAGAATCAACAGTTAAAACACATGAAAAAATATAAAGCACACACAGAAGAAAATGTCCATACATGTTGTAGAATGCTAAAGTGTCCTGATCATCACCAATCCTTTCTGTTGGACACTAACTGTCCAACAAGACCCTCCTGCATCGACAAGGAAAAACTCTTTAAAAACCCAGTGGGAAAAAGTGAGAAACCTTGGGTAGAACTAGGGAAACCCACAGGGAGGGAGACCCATTTGAGAAAGGGATCCGGTCAAATCATTTTGCTCCATCTGCTGTTGTTAAATGTCCATCCATCCATTTTCTTCCGCTTTATCCGTTGCCAGGTCGCGGGGCAACAGTCTAAGCAGAGAAGCCCAGACTTCCCTATCCACACACACTTCCTCCAGCTCGTAAGGGGGGGACCCCAAGGCGTTCCCAGGCCAGCTTGGAGACATAGTCCCTCCAGAGTGTCCTAGGTCTTCCCCGGGGCCTCCTCCCGGTGGGACGTGCCCGGAACACCTCCCCAGGGAGGCGTTGTTAAGTGTTACGTTACAAAACCTGCAGCTTATATCAATGTGTGGTCTTTACATGGTTGTCTTTTCAAAACTTAGTAGGTTTGGTAATGAACAAGTGCGCTTTATAGTCCAGCAAGTACTGTACACAGTGTTTTTGTAATTCTTTAGCTAATTTATGGTTTTAAAGTGATTGCCTGGAGTTTGTCAGAAAGAGAGACAGAGAGGTACTTGATTTGAAAAAAACGACGCAGGCTCCCTCCCCCTTCCTTTCTGATTGGTCTACACCTACGATTCCGTAACACTTTTAAATGTTAATCAGAGAACACATTATACATGTACATTATTAATACACATGCACGGAGGTTTTCAGAATTATTTGTTAACGTTTTAATGAAAAGAATAATCTTTTTATGCACAAAAAAAGCGATAGCAGCGAACCCGGAACAAGTTATTATCATGAATTGCATATTATAGGACACATCTGCAGAGGATCTGATCATGGATATAGGTTCAGTATATAAATTATTATGGATATAGGTTCAGTATATAAATGATTATGGATATAGGTTCAGTATATAAATGATTATGGATATAGGTTCAGTATATACATAAGTAACTCAGCGCAGATGTTCAGAATTCTTTGTTCAGTTTTCATGACGTTCCAGAGCCTAATGGAGGCTTGATTCGGAGGTTCCGCAAAAACAAACAACTGAGCATGCGCGCAGCTACGGGCATCAGCGCCGATGATTGACAGCCCTTGGCATGACTCGATTGGTTAACCTCGACGGCACCGTGGATTCTGAACTATAGCTAAGAGAAGGGAAGGCGGGACTTGCCCGTAATATTAGAACTAATAAAATGACTTATTTTATATCAACATTTAAGGCCAGGAGGTCAATTTAACACATTTCCCAAAATTTGTAATTCATTTAGAGTTACAGACTATCACTTTAAGAAAGTCCCAAAATTAGAGCTGAAACTGAACTGAACTAAAACACTCAATAACCACAGGCCAAAATTAAAAAATAAATAGGCACAATTCCTCAAGATGTGTCAATGTGAGTTACACATTACTTTCAGAGAGTCCTGCTCGAGCTTGAGTCTGTCCGATTCCTCCTCCACTGTCCACCTCTCCGCCTAGAAAAAAAAAATAAAATTCAGTTTTATAAATGCAGCAGTGATTTTAAACTCAGAAACAGGAAAGACATGCACCCGGAGAGACCAGAAGCCTTTTATTTTTATTTTTATTATTATTGTTATTATTGTTTCTTTTGTAGTACAAGAAAAAATAGATAATTATTTTGTGAAAACATACTGATAATATACAATATATTCCTTGTTACCATGGCATCAACTAAGTATTGACTGGATTATTCATTGTCAATGCTGTAAACATGTGACTGTAGCCTAATACAGTAATAAAGAATAATTCAAAACATTTACTGTGAAAAGTTTTGGCTTCAAATCCCCTTTATATTTTGTGTATTGATCTTTAACTAGGAGTGTCCCATTGAGATTTCAGAATCTCTTTTTAGTGGTAAGGGGAACCGGAACTCTAGGAGGAAAACCTACAAAGACACAGGGAGAACATGCAAACTCCACACAGAAATGTCCCGTCTGGACGTGGAATCAAATTAGTTTCAGTGTTAGATCATAACTCTGTGGCAATATATCAAACACACAAGGAGGCTTTAGTGACAGACCGTGCTGGTCATAACTAATGAACAGCTTTAGGACTCGAACCCACAACCACATTATAAATCAAATGTTATTTAAATGCTTTTCATACAAAAAAAGCAAGAGGGATTTATAATAGTCAAAAACATTGACCTGATAACCCACCCACCCACAGACCCAGCCCAGACCCACTTTCCACTCTCTTCCAGCACTTGATCCATTACTGTATCTACCAGTGAATAGTCCCGACTCCTCCACAGAATCTAGTCCCTTCTGCATAAGAGAGTGTGAGATCATCTGCACATCACACAACCGCACCTCTGGACTGGAGGCTGATCTGAGGCCAACTGTGGAGAGGTAAAACTCCTTACTGGACTCTGCATCTGAATTCTAGAAAGACAAGAATGAACAGTTTGACAGTGATTGCAACACATCGAGTGGTTTAAAGAGTGTCCTGCTCACGTCTGGTTCGCTCAGCAGATCCTCCTCCTTTGGCAGCAGGTAGTTCTGCTCCTGTACTGAGTCTTCCTTTTGTGTGAGCGCAGCCTCTTTCTCTAGCAGCCGTTTCTCTCGCTCCAATAACTCCTCACCTTCAGGCAAAGACGTCATCACATCTACAGGAAGTGGTGACCGGCATTTATGTTATCTAACTTCAAACCACAGAAATTAAACTTTGCAATAAAATATGTTAAAAAAACACATTGTCACATCTTTAGATCAGCTTTTTCAGATAGGAGAGAAAAAGAAAGGACCATCCTGACTCAGCCCTGTGAGTGACTATTTGATTGGCTCTTTCTTACAAGTATGCAAAAGACTAGATTTTCTAATAAAATGAACGCAGGATGTTGGGGTCTGATTTGTTTACAAAGTGTGACGGAGTAACCCCGTCAGCTCGCGGGTGAGAGGAGACACACGCATGCACACACATACGTTCATACACGCTCATACAGACTTACCCGTTTCCTCCTGCATGTCTCTCTCATCGCGTCAGTCTAGGGTGCACACTTGGCTGGCGTTCAATCACTCTATAGTCCATAGTACTTCCAACCGGTCCAAAGGTATCTCAGTATTTTCCACACGCACATCACAGCAAAGTTGGCCAAACCGAACCCCGCGGTCTTCCTTGTTTTTGGTTTTTATGCGCCGAGAGCAGGGCGCACAAATGTGACGTCACGCGTCGGGTTACGTGGCACACGGATTTTTGTGAGAAATTATTGTATTTTATTATTTATCATGTATTCCTTCTATGTTGGGTTTTACCTTCATTTGTGATAATATATTATGAATTTAGGAATTATGTTGATAATCAAAATGTTTCTATTTGAAGAGGAATCGTTATTATTTGTATTAATTGGTTTGGAGGGAGGAGCTTCAGGGTATAAGGCAGGGCTGTCAGAGCCACAATGTGTGTGGAAGCTGGATGATGAGGATGCTGTGCACTGCTGGCACAAAGCTCCAGAGCTGTTCTCCCTGATGCCCTGGTGGTTAGTCACTGTACATATTTTTTTGGTCACTACTGGGTTTGCCCTCACTTGCTGCAGCAAAAATAAACATCTGCACTAAAGAAATATAACCTGACCAGACCATATAATTTCGTTCGCATTTCTTTTGAGAACCCGCGACACAAAGGGAAAAGGAAAAGATGTCCCTGAGGTCTATGTCTCTCAGCTGACCTGGGAACGCTTCGGAATTCCCCTGAATGAGCTTGAGGAAGTTATTAAACTACAGTGCGTGGCTATGATTCTGAGTCTCATGGTTATCCTGACCTGATGTTGGTCAGGCTCATGATAATCACATTCTGACATTGATTCAGTTTCTTAAGACAGCAGTGTGAGTGAAGAAGGAAGAGAAGCCGTCTATGCTCAAGACTGCTGCCACCGCTACCCAGCGATGGATAAAGCAAAATAAAATGGATGAATAAGAATTTGTATCCTGCCTTTAACTCACTCAGTTTGTGCAGCTGCTCCTGGGTCAGATGTTTCCTCATGTTCTTGCTCTCTGTCTCTGAAGCCAAAGTCTGAAAAATACGTTTATCAGACTATTAACACTAGGACTCTCACAATTTTGACACTACTAGTTAGAACTCCCAGAGCGGTCATTTTGACTGCTCCCATTAAAACCAACATAATTCCCACAAACATTTTATAGTTTTTCACCAGATTTCTTAAATGTAAGTCATGTATAAGGTTTCTTTTTACCTTTACTTACATTTACTAAGTGCTAAATCAGTTTATTGAGAGGCTAAATGATTTAGACCAAATGCTAACAGTAAACGGTGTGTTGCTATAGTAACCAGCACTCGCTATTCAAAGATAAAACTACTCGTCTAAATTTAAGACAATGACAGAAATCTACACCAATAAACTATTAGAGATACAAAAAACGTTATGAAGACCAAGACGGTACATACACTACACCAATTTGACTGTTCTAGTCTTACCTGCGTTAGCTGCACCTGCGACTGTGCTTTGTGCTCCAGCTCCAACAGCTCTGTGTGTTTCTGTTTGTGTTTTTCAGAGAGAATCGCCAACTCCTTAAATACATCAATGATTACACAACATCAAAACAAGGCTAATTAAACATTGTGTGTGTGACTGTGTGTGTGCGTGTAAGCATGTGTGTTTATATGAGAGAGTTTATGTGTGTGTGTGCGCTCTGTACTTGTTCAGAAATTTGGAGTTGGATTTTCCTCTCCTCCAACTTCTCTCCGAGGAAACTCAGCAGCTCAGAACTTTCTAAAACACATAAGAGACAGAGACACATGCAGCTGAGACAAAATATGATTTGGTTCAGGGGTTCTGTGCAAATTGGCCCCATCACAACTCAAAACTTCTGACTTGGACTGTGTGCTGCTATCTCTCCAGGACAACCTTAAAGATGAGGTCTGCAGCCTTTTATTGTATTATTCAACTTTATTTTATTGCAGAATTTCAGATTTTCTCTCACAATGTTCAAATCCAGGTATACTCATGATTCAAATCTGGTTTTAGTCCAGTACAGTAGTAGTAGTAGTAGTAGCCCTGATTCCTTACCGTTGAGCTTCTCCTGATTGGTCGCAGCCTCTTGTCTCACTTGTTGTTGCGTGAGCAGTGATTGGCTGTGCTCTTGTTTAAGTTTCTGAAGTTCCAACTCCACAGCAGACAAACACCTAACTCACACAAGACAGGAAGTTTAACATATTTATCTTATTGTGCATTGTCCCTCATCAACTATGTCATTTTTTTGTTTGCAGTTTAACCTGTGTGCGTGTTTGCGTCTGTCCTCTAGGTGGCGACACTGCTGCTGTAAACTGCTGTTCTGTGCTTTCGTCCGCTCCACCTCCTCCTTCATCTCCTGAAAAATATCACATATGTAAAATCCTTGCATTCTGACAGTCGTTTCCTGTACTTTTAAGTTTGTTTTAGTCTTTGTACTTCTCTGGTGGACTCTGGGGAACTTTTTCTCACGTATTATTCCAATGTGGTTTTACTGCAAATGGGAATAAACTGAATCATATTTTGTATTATGGGATAGTGTTGCTTTGCCTCGGATCAAATCAAAATTATTACTACATTATTCCTTTCATAGGATAATTCTGTTCTGATTATTCACTAGTCACTTTATCTGCTGCGATTATTACAATTGCTTATTATGGTCAGTGATGGGAATAACGGCGTTACTAGTAACGCCGTTACTAACGCCGTTACTTTTTTCAGTAACGAGTAATCTAACTAATTACTTTGACAGTAACTATAACGCCGTTATCATTTCCGACATCCCGTTACTGCGCGTTACTCAAGACGCACAATGAACGTGTTGTCATGAGAGAAGGGAGGATGAGAAAACCTCTCAGCAATTATTGGCTGATGTAAATCATATTTCCTTTACAATCCACATGTCTACAGTTGAGAGGATGGCTCATAAATTGTGTTTTTGAAACAAATATGGGTCTTAATCACACTCTACCACGGCTTGTATCACCGTGAGGTCAGCCACAGAGTAGCGCATGTGAGCGCAGAAGCCGGCTGCATACAATTCCATCGATAAGCTCCTTTCTCTTCCTGGTTTATCTGCTAAGGACAGCAACAGGTTTGGCTAACATACATATAACACATTTTTACATAATCTAAAATGCACATAGGGTAATTTTTCAATTACTATAGGAATGATAAGAAAGAGAGGTGAAGTGTAAGACGGTTGATTTTAGAAATTGGATGCACTCGGCTGCCGCTAGCAAAACACAGGAGTTTACGGAGGACACACGCGTTTTGTTTTACTTTTTAAAACTCATTGGACTCATTTCCAAATGGAGGATTACGTATCTACGCTCAAACTATTATCTGGACTTAAACATGGAACTGGTCGAACCGAAGTGGCTTGTGCAGGTCATTTATAAGGTAAGACCCATAACTCATAGTTTTGTGTTTTGTATGAACAAACAATGCGGGCATGAAACATATTTTGCTGTAGCCAAACAAACTGTCCACTTGATTTATATGATATATATGTTCATCTGATTGGGCTGAAGTCAGTGCTTCACCGGTGTTTCCACATTCACAGTGGCGGGCTTTACAGCACAGTGAGAGATGAAGAGTGAACAGGACTTCAGCAGCAAAACAGCCTTTTCTAGATGGAAATATTGGCACTATTAAAGGTAAAAATGTGCACGTCGGGTGCACATTATGTTCCAGAACAAAACGAAAAAGTAACGCAATAGTTACTTTTACTGGTAACTAGTTACTTTTATAGTGGAGTAACTCCGTTAGTAACTCAGTTACTTTTTGGGAGAAGTAACTAGTAACTATAACTAATTACTTTTTCAAAGTAACGTGCCCAACACTGATTATGGTCGTATTCTCTGCTGCTAAAGTACAAAATAAACATCTGTAAATACATCATGAAGCTTCAGAGTTTTATTTTATCTGATTATTTTATTTTCTATTTTCTTAAATAATAGACCCTGTTGGATGTGTGCTCTTATTTCCTCTTTTTATTCTACTGAAATGTTCGCAAAGATGAAAATTCCACATGTGGGAAGAAGGTATATCTTATCTTTAATCTAAAACTAAAATGCTGAAATGCTGAAATGTCACCTCTGTGGGACAAATAAAGGTTAAACGATCTCTAACTCTTAATCACAAACCTAAACTGTTATTATTATGACACAAATTGCCTGTTTTTCCCCAATTCAAAGTTATTTTCGGCGATTGAATTTGGCTGTCAGACTTTTAAAAACAGCCTCAGAAGAGACTGAACAGTGTCTTGATGCAGACTCACCTTCAGCTTCTCTTCAGTCTCTTTAAGCCCAGCCTCAGCTTCTTTCCGCCGCATCTCCACTTCCTGTTCTGTCCTCCTTTCCACCGCGGCCTGTGATTGGTCGAGGTTCCTGAGCTCCTCCTTCACGCTCTCCTCCTTCTGTTTCACTGCGTTCTGTGTCTTGAGAAGCTCGGACTTGGTTTGGTGCAGTTGGTCTCTGGACTGGTTCAGCTCTTCCCTGGTCAGTTCTGCCTCATCTTTGGTGTGGTCTCGTAGGCCCTTTGTCTGATCGAGGTCTGCCTGGGTTTGGACGAGCTGGACTTGGATCTTCTGAATTTTCTGGATTTTTTCTGATTGTAGAGTTTTCAGACGTTTTAGTTCTTGTCGTTCGGAGAGCACCTCTTCTTGAAGCTGCTTCAACTCTGGGCAGAAAATAAGAAACAAAAAAACATTCAATAAAAGGAACCTATCATGGACAAACCTACAATATCTGCTGCTAAAACCCCAAATGCATTTATGTGCACGGGTCTCATACAGATTTTGCGTCTGATGTGAGTCTCAACTGAACTCAAAAAGGACATGTTTGAAAATGTGAGTGGAGTAAATACAAAGGTTGATCACAGCTATATCTGAAACTGTATAGAAATAAAGAAATCTGGTAGAAAGAGGTGCAAACTCTTTTGTCCACACCAATCTGGATCCAGGAGGAACAACTCTGTCCCCAAATCACCAGCCCGAATTAAGCTGCTGTGAAATGTTTCCACAGGTTGCCGTGCAGATACTATATAGAGGGATCCGCCGTGGCAGGGGCTCTGGTGCACACTGGGGTAGTCTTGCACAGTTTTTCCAATGTGGTTTTCCTGCAAATGGTAAAAAATTCTTGAATCTTGACTAATACTACGTTTTGCATTCACTATCAAGGCAGGATATACAGTAAATGATCTTTTGGGCATTCCACACAATCATTTAAATGGCACTTACGTATTTTGCCTACACATATGTTTAGTAGCAAACACATCTGACTGGGTGCAAATGTCCTACAACATGTGACTTTGGACGTGTGTGTGTGTGTTCTGAGAGGAGCTCTGCCTCAGTAGCAGCAGTTGACAGTGTTCAGTACCAGTCCGGGTTGAGTCCAGTTCAGACCGAAGATGCTGCAGTTGTTCTTCTTCTGCTGCTGTGGCTGATATCAAAGAGCTGCTCTGAGACAACAGTGCCTCCTGCTGCTGCACCATCAACTGCACAGACATGAGTTTTCAGTTAGCTTTAGGATATGTCCTTGCAAGTTTAATCTTGGTTTAACTATTTATCTATTTTTAGGGTTAGGGTCTATCAGGACTGGGCAATCTAGAAAAACATAGACAAATCTTGAGTTTTTATACAAATCCTTTCTATCTCAAAAAACACAAAACAAAACTGGTAAAATAAATGTAATATTTTTTTTTTATCGACAAACGTTCACACTGAATGCACAGCTGAGAGAGCAGAGGTGTAAACACATGCTGCTTCTCCTCCTGACTCACTTTTATCTGAGGAGGTGAGTGTAGAACCTCATTCCGCTAACTACAATATTACTGGTGTCCATTTTAATGGATGTGTTGATAATCGCAATCTCCGAAAGTTGAGAGAAGATTTTTTGGTCTATGGTTCTATAGTAGTGTACCTGTAGACTGGTCTTGAGTCTGGTCTATGGTTCTATGGTAGTGTACCTGTAGACTGGTCTTGAGCCTGGTCTCCTGGTCCCTCAGCTCCTGTGTCCTCTGCTGCAGTAGTTTATCCTATTCCCACATTGACATTGGAAGTTAGTTTTCCCACTTGACCTAAAATAATATATGTATAATTTTTTTTGTTTTAAATTCAGATTTACCTGGTTCCTGGGAGATGCCAGTCGGTCCAGGCAGTGGGAACAGACCGGGTTATGGTCTGGACTCTGCTTCTGGATTTGAGCACCTCTGGATGTTCTCAGAGTCTCCGCCTCATCCTGAAGTTCCCTGAAAGACACCAGAGTTAGTTAGTATTTAGCTATTTATTCAATTCAAAACCTGAACAAAACAAGATACAAATATTAATTATCAAATGAAAAACAAGTTTTGAAAAGAAGGTGATGATGAGGGCTGATCGATAAATGCCAAAACAGTTATATCTTGGGTTCATTGCCCTCTTTGGATGAGTCACAAAATCAACTGTTTGATTCAAAATTGTCAAAAAACATCTTATTTTCCATCTCAAATAATCATAAAAGTGTATAGTGTTTACAGTGTATAGAGAGTGACCCTTTTTTAAATATTATAAAAACACTGGCGCTGCTTGGTTCAGTTAAACTACAGACCCCCGAGAACCAGAGGCCAGAAGAAACATGCTCCCGACCCCAATCTCACACGGTGGATTAATTACCGGAGTTGTAGTTGTGTCTGCTGCAGAGAGGTGACGCTGTCTTTGGTTCTGCGCTGCCACATTTCTGCTTCTGACTGAGCCTGAGGAAAGAAATAAAAATAGAATTTGTTTGTTTCATGAACAGAAACTTAAGTATGAAACACAAATATCAAATCAAAGGTTCAATGTGAATGCATTTTAGCAGAGGAAATGCCCAGAAGAATATATACAGTAATGGACTAAATATCACATTTCAATTCGATTTATTTTTGTATAGCCCTAAGTAACAACAGCAGTCGTCTTTGAGGAAGTTGTCGCCATTGGTCCATAAGGGGCAGGATAATAATAACAATAATAACAATAATAATAATAATAATACATATTTTTTGTACAGAAATTTGTGTTTACAAAGCGCCCGGACTCTACCCCGGACTCTACGCCCGGACTCTACGCCCGGACTCTACGCCCGGACTCTACGCCCGGACTCTACGCCCGGACTCTACGCCCGGACTCTACGCCCGGACTCTACGCCCGGACTCTACGCCCGGACTCTACGCCCGGACTCTACGCCCGGACTCTACGCCCGGACTCTACGCCCGGACTCTACGCCCGGACTCTACGCCCGGACTCTACGCCCGGACTCTACGCCCGGACTCTACGCCCGGACTCTACGCCCGGACTGGTCGGTTACCTGTGCCGTGGAGCCGTGGACCTCCTGCAGCAGCCTCTGAGCCTGACGCAGTTCAGCTCTGCGCTTCAGGAGAGTCTGCTCCACACACCACACCTCCTCACACACGCCCAGGACACGCCTGCAGGACAAAACACAGGGTTTTACTAGAGTTTTCTTTCTTGCCGATGGAGGAGGGTCTAAGGACAGTGGTGATGATCCAGGACTCTAGACATTCAACGGCATTTATGGATTTAAGACTAAGATTAGATTAAGATTGTGATCATTGCATTTCTTGTGTTTGATTCTCTGATCTGTGTTGGAGAATTCAAGGGTTTTGTGAAGTCCTCTTTGGGGCTATACAAGAATAAATTGAATTGATTTTATTTAAAAACCCAAAGACATCCACAGATGAAGTGTCTCTCATTGAACCAGATTCTGAATAAGATAAGTCTGCTTCTTGGGTGGTCAAGATCAGGCAGAAATCTACCAATAAACATTTGTCATTTACCTGCGGTGGCTCAGGAAACAGCAAAAGAATAGTAAAGTTTCACTGATACTTGGTTTATTAAACATTTAGAACCAAACAATACCAGGTCTCCACGGCTCAATTATTAGTTCATAGATTAAGGGGCGCAGTGGAAGCAAACCCAGGACCTAAGAAGCTCCTGGGTTTGCTCCCACCTTCTGTCTGTGTGGAGTTTGCATGTTCTCCCCCTGTCTGCTCCGGTTCCCTCCAGGTGCTCCGGTTTACCCCCTCTCTAAAACATATACAATAGGCCCCTATGCATCTATGTGTCCAAGTCCTCACCTGTGTCTCCTGAGAGCCCTCTGCAGTTTTTCAGTCTCAGAACGAAGCCGGTCCTGATGAACACAGATGATGTCACACGACTGATTACAAAGAACAACGAAAATCTATTCTGGGGATTACCGTCCGTCTGTGAGTGCCGTCAGCGGGACCAACAGGAGCGGAGCAGAGACGTGTCCCAGGGTCCACCTGACTGTGATCTGGAGGAAAACAATCAATAATGTGAGAAGATGCGGAAAATATTCTGCATTTGATTCAGAATCAATGAAAAAACAAATCTTAAAAATATAAATATTCTTTATTTTCAGACAGTGAATTACGGTTACACAGCAAAGCATCAAAACACGATTTAACTTCTTTTGTAATTATCTTGATATTTTTTCTTTTCCACATTCATATGTATGAATAACTATTTACAGAAGGGGGAGAGATTCAGATCAATTATTTTGGACCTCCACAAAATCTGTTTTTAGCTGTATGTATTATACCCACTTAGACATAATGGAATTAAAGGTTATTTATTGAGACCGATGGAAAAGGCAAATGCTTCCATTGTAAAAAATCTCATTTACAATATAATTTCTGCCCTGGAATGGTCTATATAGCAGCAGAAATCATAAAAGAAAATAGATATGTTTACGTATTGGTTTGGTTAAAAAAATTAAAATAAACTGGTATAAATAATGTGATATTTTTAATCTACAACATTTCATGAAGTTCAAGAAGTAAACTGCAATTCTATATAGATTTTCAAAATGTGTATTATTTTAGTGTGATAAACATTCAGATTTTTGTTTTTCTAAGAATATACCTGTTGATAGATTTATGTTGATTATGTAGATTTCACTAATCACTAATAAAATGTCATCAATAAAAACATGGTGATGATCAGATCTTATAAAATTGTGGTAAATCTAACTTATTTCTTAAGCTCTAGACAAAATAAATAGCTTACATACTTGTTTTACTTGTCTTGTTGTGGCGATCCTTCTGACAGAGACAGCTCCCTCCTGCACATGTCGGGGAGGGAGAACTGAGATCCAGATCTGAGTCTTGAGAGGCCATGGACCCCTCACTCACGCTCTGTCAAGAAGGAAAAATAGACTGTTTAAATATTTTACCATTCACCATTAGCTCATTATTCTGACATCCAAATGTTTTCACTCTTTGTAGCAGAAGTCTGAAAACATCTGAATTTACATCTTATGTCGCTTTGTCAAATTCAGGCATGCACTCATTAAGTCAATTTACAAACAAAAACACAAATCTTACTCCGGGTTTAATGATATTTCTAAGGCATGGCTCCCAGTTTCCTCTCTCTTTTTTAGCTTTGGTCCTGGAGCTGGGCCTGGTCTCATTCTTAAGTTTGAAGCATGTTGGTGTCCGGGTAAGGTCTATTTCGGGCTGCTCTTTAGTGAGTTTATCATCTTCAGATTGTCCCTGAAAACACAGTTAAAGAGGATTGACCACGCAAAGACATTCAACAACTTTTGACCCTGTTATTGTAGGGATTAAGCCAGCCCACATATGGCTTTTTTTCTGATTGTGTTATTACTCAAACCATTATGGGCTCATGATGTGGGTTTTTAATGAGAATTGTATCTTTAAAATGATATATATGTCATAGTAACCAAACTTGAGTACTCCTATATCGGGAACCACAGCCTCTAAAGCAGAGCAATTACGGAAAAAGCATGTGTTCTGGATGTGTCACTGTCTTTACAACCGTAGCATTGCAGGATCAAAAACAGACTTTAAAGGGCCCATATCACGGTTTTTGACTTTTCTCTGCTTTAAACATGATTACAATGCTATTTGGCCTTCATACACAAGCCCACAGTAGTTTATTCATTGATTCTGTCAATCTTTTGTAAGAGAACAATCTGTCTCCTTCCCCAGCGTGAGGCACAGAAACGCTCGGGTCCACTTCAGTGACGAAAACCACACTGATGACGAATATGACGCGCATGACCCCGTTTGCTTTGTATTTAAAATAGTTGTTAAATACTTTTGTCAAAACGGGGTAAACAATACACAATTAATATGCTGTTTTTTGTCAAAAATAATAAAAATAAAAATAAATTAAAAGCCGGCGGGAGGTGATTGACGGATCAAAACAGCGAATCAGAGCGCACAGGCTCCGGCTCCCGAGTCCAGCGTCTGTGGTCTGGTCTCGCGGACACCACATAGAGCTGCTGTTTTTCTGCTTTTGTCAGTAACTAAAAGTGTTAGGATCACGTCAACTTGAATGAAATGTGTTATGGGTGTAAATATGTGACACACTATTTGGCCTGAAGAGGAAGAAAGCAGCTCAACTTTTTTCATCTGTTCATCTCATGGATCTATTATAATACCGGTTCATCTGCGACACTTCACTGAGACTGTTCCAGAACTACAGGGACAATGGAACTGGACTTACTCAAAAACTGATCTGGAAACACGTTATTCCCACGGTAAAAGACGTAACTCGGACCCCCTCGATCTGTAAGTAGTGACGCTAACTCGCTGTATACTTCTGTAAACTAAATAACTAGGGTCTGATTGTGCATCGAGGACATAGGGCTCGATGTGACGGATTGTCATTGTTGGAAAAAGTGTATTCTTATGTATGAAATTACTAAGTACAGGTGATAAACGACAAAAGCGTGATGCTACGTCAGCGTGCGGGCGGGGGGAGGCGGGCTCACAGGCAGAGGAGCGGACTCTTCTCTGGATCAGCTTGTTTGAGTCGAGGTGACGTCACCTCTATACAAGAGATGGCTCTAATCTCACAAGCTTTGATTGTTGTGTGATGTATCATACACATTAATATCACACATGTGTATAGGATTGAGTGTGAAACATGAAGAAAAGCGTGATATAGGACCTTTAAACAGACTTTCACGAGCAACTGAATGATTTTCTCTTTACTGAAGAAACTGAATTAATGTATAGGGATTTTTTTTATGCATGCCTTCTTGACTTTATTATTTATTTATTATTTATTTATTTATTTTGCTTTAACTTGTTTGCACCGAGAGCCAAAGTAATTTTCTACTTTGTGACTTCCAGTTACTCACATGGCAATAAAAGGATTCTGATTGTCTTTTAATGCATTGTGGCTATTTATGATTTTAATCCCATGTGTGATTTAAACGTGTTAAGGTTTTTAACGACTTGTGTGATTTTATTTTTTTGTTTTTAATATTCCTTGTGGTGTTAATGTGTGTCTTTAATGCCCTGTGGGATTTTAATTGTATTATTTTAGTGTAGATTGTAATGTAGATTTTAATGTTTATGATTTATGCTTGATGTGATATGGGTTGTGAGGCGCTTTGTGTAAGAAAGGCGCTCTACGAATAAAAGTTGATTGATTGATTGATTGAAAGATAATAATAGCAAATATTAAAATGATTCATGATTTATTTTGACTTACTGTATAGAACTGCTGCAGTCCAGAGATTACATCCCATAAGTCTTTCCTTAGTGCCAAATTAGCCAAATGTTGACCTAAATGACCACAGAACAAAAAATAAACAATACTTTTCAAATCTGTTTATTATTTTTTTCATAAAAGGGTTAATCTCACCATTCGTTAACTGCTGCTCAAGCTCTTTGATTTCCTGTGTTTCCAAAGCTATGCGTGACAGAGTGTCTTCCAGACGTTGCTCCATCTGGTCTCCCTGAACATCATTCATTAAAAAAAGTCATTCAACAAGTTTGGAAAGTTTAGTTTAATATTAGTTCAGATGTCAGTGTGTGGTGACTGTGCTACTGCTGATAATTCTTCTCGGTAACTGTCGTACTATTTATGATTAAAATTACAGCAGACTCACTATTCATATTAGGAAAGGCTATATTGTTTATTAAAACAAATGAATCACCTTATATTTGAGACCCAGTTTTCACATCTATGTTTACAAATAGAAATTAAGTGAAAGTCACAATTAAAGTTAAAATACTTTGTACAATTATTCAAAATTATTGGCTCACAAAATTATTATTTTATCCCAATCCATTGTTTTTGTTTCATTCAGAACAATGGCCTCAGAGTTGGAGGTCCTGTGGTCCCCAAACTGGACCTCAGCCTGTCTGTGACAAAACAGTGATGGCAGCCCAGGTGGAGGCCATGCACCTGGCATGTACCTGGCAATACAGAGTTCTACTGCTACTACTGAATCCGAGAATCGTATACTTATGATTGTCCTGCTCTCGCACCCTTAAAAGGATTCAATAATAAATATTGCATTTTTGGTCTATTGTTAATCAAGATTAATTACTTTCTTGATTCTTGGCCCTAGTATCTATGATAAATATTAAGAACCCCTCTATTTAAAAAAAAAAGTGGGACAATCTTTTACTTTTTGGCAACACTGTATGGTTTAAGAGTTGTTCACCTCACGTTTAGTGATACCTTTTGACACTAAAATTACATTAAGTATAAAGGTTGGTTTGTTATTTATTTTGACTTCCTGTCTCAATCGGAAGTTAAATTGTCGCGCTACATCAGAAGGAGACGTTACAAACAGCAACAAAAGTAACGACAACAAAATTTAGCTACAGTTGAGATAGAGGGGACAAGGTATGATTTGTTTGATATGTGTGACAATTGTAAAGTTTGTTTAAATCTGTAAAATAATAGTAATTGTAATATAACGGTTAATAATCCAAATTATGCTAGATAGTAAATAGACATAATTGTAAGGTGATTTTTTTATTTATGTTCTAGCTTAGCTCTTACGTTGGTTATATGACTACATGGAATGGACAAAATAAGCTTCATTTTAACCATCAGTTCTGGCTTCAACCGCACAGGAAACTGGCCGCTACATTTTGGTATGAATTTGTGACATAAATAATCATGATGATTGACTAGCCTAATAATATTCACAATAATATCTAACAAATAAAATCAAAATCCTGTCAGACGTTCATTCATTAGTTGTTATATTAATCCAAACATCATCTTATATTTATAATTATATTAGTGTGAAAGAAAGTACTCATGTTAGTACACATGACTAACATTTAAAGAAAATGAAAATGAGGAACGCTTCACGAATTTGCGTGTCATCCTTGCGCCAGGGGCCATGCTAATCTTCTCTGTATCGTTCCAATTTTAGTATATGTGATAGCGAACTATCACGAAAGTACAAAGTGTCTGAAAGGAATATATAGGGGTGGGGAGCCGCAGCCAACCTCGCTCATGGTCCACGGATACACAAATGCATTCTGGGTAATCGGGGTTGGTCGTCCAAATGGTAATGTGCTCTCAGGCTGTTTCGTTCTGTATCAATACGGAAAGAAAGTGTAATTTTGTAACGATTGGGTGTAGCTGCAGCTTGTAGATATTGTATGACTGCTTTTCTGTTAATAGAACATATTTTAAAGACGAGAGAATCATTTTACTCACAGCTCTGGCACACAACTGAGTTCATGGAAATGCCTCTGCCCCGTTCTTCTTGCAACTGGACAAAAACTGCTCTCTCAAAGTCCAGTTCTTCGTGTCTTCCATCTACGTATTGTTAGAAATGCATCATTCTTCTGCATCAGTCCTTTTCTCTTTCACCAACACAGGAAATCTTTCAGAGGACCAATCAGGATGTTCATGTTAATCCTATACCGGCAGTGAACGAAAGAAGGTCAAAGTTCCTTAAAGAGCCAGTCTTGTCGATATCTTAGTTCAGTGTCTGCTCTGTGGCTATTTCACTTAAGGAAATTTAGAAGTAATATTTTAAGTTTAGTAAAAATATAATAAGTAAGTAACGTGTATAGCGGCACAGACCAGGATCACAAAATGCTTCACGATTAAAAACACAGAGAAACAAATAATACACATTCAAATCAGCTCCATTATTATTATAGATCCACGGTCAGCACCAAGGTCGAAAATACAGACGCATTATGAACACATTTCAGGCCTATGTACGGTGAGGCAGAGAAAACCAAGCTAAACAAGAAAAGTTCTTGGAGGATGCGGGGCATCGATCCCGCTACCCCTCGCTACTCCCTACTGCATTCTGAAGTAAGTAAAGTAAGCCCAAGTAAGCCCATCACCAACCAATCAGCACACGGCCTCGTGCTCCCTCGGGCCAATCACGTCGCGAGCTGGTGGGCTTACTTTCGACCAATCACGCTGCACCTCCCGGTTCCCTCATAAACTCCCGGAGGAAAGTGCGGAGATATCAGTCATCGACATCTGACGCGCGCGCCAGGACTTCTGGTCTGAAGACCCCTGCGTCTGAAAACTAGAGAATGTGCGCTTCACCGTTGCCGGTCTGAAAGCACCATTAGACATGTTGCTGTTAAGAACAATCGAATGCTCTCTTCACCAATGATGTGTTCTCAGGGCCGCTGGCAGGAGGCGCTCTGGTGCCAGCGGTGGGGTTTTCAAACGTCCAGATGATATTTGGAACCATCTTAATCCTGTTTGCACCACTCTGCATCTTCCTGCGCAACCCCCCCACTACAGAGAACCGGGTGAGAGCAGGACTAAACCAGGACTGAACTACAAAGCTCTACTTAACCTTAAGTTTCTCAAACTAGTGAGACAAACGCATGTTGATGTTGACCTTTTCAACATATTTCAACTGTTAAAGAAAATACTATAATAAAACACAGGGGTGGACTCCCTTTAGCATTCTATATTTACCAGGTTTTTCATGTAGGCCCTTGTGGACCAAAAGGTGCCCCCTGGAAGCTCAGACGTGGGTAAAGACCATGGGGTTTCCACAGAGTGAATGCAGTGATCATGAGACGCAGCCATCGTCCACAGACTGGATGTACAGTATACACACTTACATAAGAAGGGTGATATGTCAAAGCACCCGGTTGCTTTAAAACTCTCTTCGCTGTTGCTAGCATTGATTGGCTTCCTTTTGCTGGAGCTAAACAAATGATGATTGTTGACGGGGAACTCTCCCTGCTCCCTCTAGGACAGGTTGGCGCCTCAGATGATCTGTGGACAACTGACAAGCTTCAGCAGTACTGCTCTTTTAAGCCCTCCAAACCAAAGAGACTGGCTTCTCTCACTATGGCTTATAGTGATAATAGCCTTCAGCTGAACACCAGTAAAACAGAAACTCTAGTTGAAGCCCTGGACAGTATTGTGCATCTCATTACCCAGCACCTTGGCAACCTAAGCAGCTCCATAAGAGAAGTCTGAGGAACCTTGGAGTTTGTCCCTAGAACAACAAACCAAACAGATGATCAAAAAATTCCATTTGTGCAACATCTCTAAGCTCAGACATACGGTCTAAGGTCACAAGCTGGAAGTTTTATGGACTGTTGTATCATACAAATCTGTATTTTATTTTGCAAGTAGTCAGTTTTAAATCAATTCAGTAGTTTTCACTGACGAAAAAGTGACTCATCATTGTGTATTAGGTTGGCCAAATGTGGACGTCTAGTTTTGTTTTTCAAAAGTTACAGACTTTTGTAGATGCGGTTTATGCAGGAGAACATGGCTACTCCATGTATGTGCTGTAATTACCACACATTTATGGGAACACACACACACACACACACACACACACACACACAGTATATCCTACTACTTCAAATCCTGCTGTTTTGAAGTGAATGAGGCTTCCTTCCTGTCTTTCCCTCAACATGTGTTTAAAAGGAGAGTAATATCGCGTTGGAGTTACTGACACTTTTAAAACCCCAAAGTGCAGCATCCGACATGGTGCATTCTCCTTTTTTCCTTTGAAAGTAGACATTAGGGCATGGGTTAAAGGAGAAATATTTTTTTTAACTTGAGTACATTGTTTCTCTTTGAAATACACACCTGAAGTTTGTATTGTTTTTAGATCCATCCATGCTAAATTCAGAAAAAAAAATAATAATCATAATTGGTTTTGGCAATTTCTCAAGGGGACATTCTTTACAATCACAGTCTGTGTTTGCAGCTGGTAATTTTCAAATTTGAAAAAAACAAAACAAATTCAACTTCTCCCTCTGGTAGCGCAGGTCAATATCATGTTTTACCCTTCATACCACCATATATTTTCTAATAGAGAGATGAATTCTAAAGCATGAAAGGTCAAAGAAAATAGACTCATTATCATTTTTAATCCCCAAAAACAAAGCGTAATATTTCTTCTTGAAAATAAGCGGAAGAAGCCCGGAGGAATCAAAACCAGGAATGCTAATGCTTCGCGTCTTTCTATAGGATTAACTATTCTCCTGCAGCAAATAATACTGGTGGTGTTTTGGTTATATCATTTAAACATAATCTAATAATACAGGGTTTTTTGGTTATATCATTTAAACATAATCTAGGGCCAGATGTTATGAATTAATGATTATTTTTTTTGAAGAAATACAACTGAAGTTACTGGCAGCATTATATGTTCACACGTTTTGGTCTGGACTCTAGATTCAGAAGCAAATCAGTTCCTCAGATGAAGTTACTGCTGAGACTACTGAGACGCAGAATGTGAGACGGGCTTCTCTGACAATGTTCAAAACCAGGTTAAAAACAGTTCTGTGTAGCTGTGCATACAACTGAGGGGTTGTGTATTCTCTTTGTAATGTGCTGTGATTACTTATTGTTGTTATGTTAAGCACTTTAAGATAAGATAAACTTTATTGATCTCACAATGGAGACAGTTTCTTTGAGTTGCCTTGTGTATGAACTGTGTTTTACAAATAAACTTGCCTTGTGTAATAGCTTGCGTTCATGTTCTAGGGTTGTGTTTCAGTTGGAGGGCAGGTGCCGATACTATTCTATGGGAAAGAAGCAAAAAAAGGTTTTCCAAGATCCATAATTTATTAGGGATTAGATATTTGTATTGTGTCTGAAAGTTTGTTCTGGGGTCAACATCAAACTGGTGGGGGTTTTTTTTGTAAACTATTGTCCCAATTTCTAAACACCTTGATGAGATGTGTACTGACAAAGAAGAGGTGGAATTTAGTGAGCATTTTTGTTTTATATGGATTGGCCCAGGATTTACAGAGTTGTATAACAACCTATTTGCCCAAATCATATCAGTCCGCTGTCAGAACACCCCCAGAGGCTGTTATAGTAATGTACAACGCAAATAATTGGATACAGAAGAAATCTACGTTGTATATACAGAATTTGAATTATTTGTATTGCCGTTGAAAGTAACAAGAAGTCACAACCACGCTTAAAATAGTTGAACTTTGTCCCACAAATGACATTTTTAAGTTCTGTCCACAGTTTGACAGTTCTTGTTTCATGTGGATGGGCTTAATAATTACACCAATCTGAACCATAAAACAGGACTACAAATCATTCGTTGACAGTCCACAGCTCAGTGTTGAAGTGATGTAACGTTGTTCAAGAGGCTCCCAAAGCTTTGGGTTTGGACTGTGGTCGGTGAGTCTTAATAACGTCTCTCTGAAGATAAAACACACAGACACTTCCTTTGCTTTGAAACATGATCCGCATTCTGCACATGAGGAGACAAAAATAGTCTTCAGTGTAAGAGGAGTAGTGTTTACAAAGATGAAAACAAAGCTATCACATTCAGGCTGTAATATCAATCATTATTATTCAATTATTATATTCTTAATCACAAAAAAATGTCACTTTCAGAAAGGTCTTACACTCATTCTGACTTAAAGGTGTACAGGAGGATTTTTTCAAATTTTAGTTAAGAACCGCCCTCTCCAATTTTTGAACAAAACTCTCTGGTCTTATTTGACGAGCACATATCATCAGAATGAATGACAATTAGGAGGACCAATAGTCTTGATGATCCACCCGGAAGTAGAAAATCCTCCTATATACCACTAAGACAATGAAACTCTGCAAATCTGTGTTGATGATTTTACATTTTTTATTTTATTTATACGCGTTTGGAGAGGCAGCGTTTCAGATTTATGCAACTAAAATCTAGAGCAGTCAATGTGAGACGCAGGCTTCTAATCTGACAATGTTGAGGTTAAAACAGTTGTGTTTAGCTGTGCATACAACAGAAGGACTGAGTTCAATGTACTGTGATTATTTATGATTTTATCGAATTGTTTGATTTTATAGTTTATTTTCTTGTAACTTTGAGTTTCCTTGAACTGTGCTATACTAATAAACTTGCCTTAAATTGTACAGGTATTTCACGTTTTTGCTGTCACACATTATGTTTAAAATGATTGTTTTGCCAGGTCACCCCATCATACAAATATTGTGTTCTCAGTGGACTTGGTAAAATAAAATAAACTGCTGAGAAACATTAATAAAAATTGAATGGTAGATAAATATTAAGTGGTTTCTGTTTGATTAAAGACGTTCAAACAATAAACGAGACTCATTATAACAACAGAAACAACACTGCTGCATCTCCCACAGAAAGTGAATACAAACAAAGGCTGGGCTCTCCTCTGCTCCCAAACATAGTGCTGTATCTACTATGACCTCTTATTTATTTACTCATTTGAGAGGATAAACCCCTTGAGATGCATCATCTCGTTTTCAAGAGGGTCCTCAAAAGAATTACAAGAAAGCAAAAACACAAGACAGAAACAGCAGTACAGGCTCATAACAAAAGAACAAACAAACAAACAGACAAAAAGAAACAAAAAATAAACAATTTCAAGTATATCAAGTATATTCACAGATACCTCCAATGAAATACATTATACAAGTATATAAGTATGTTTAGATATGACATATACGTTGAAATTAATGTATTTTGAAGTATATATTTGTCAAAGGCAGAGATGGACTGTAAAGGTAAATATATTAGTGCCATACCACGGTACTGAGCCGAGCACAGGTCAAGCAGCCCCCTCTGCTGGCCAACGTTGTAATCTAAATAGCCATAAACTATTTCTGCGAATTGCTGTTTACTTGATCTGTTGCTGTTTACCAGTGGTATAAATAATGTTTGTACAAATGTCGTGTTTATAGGGTCTATATTTTGCAGCACATTCACCACAGCTGGTTACGTATCAGGAAATAGACACGTTCCCCTCTGCTCTGTGACCACGAAGGACCATGTGGACGAGGCAGCTTCAAAATAACTACTGTTTATCGCGTGTTTTGTAAGTAACTTGCAAATTTAATGAGTAATACGTATTTTTCAATGTCTGGGGTAAAATAAGTTCAAGTTTCAGTTGTTTCAATCCCAAAATTGGCAAAGTGGATTTTTTCAAAATGTCGGGGGGCCAGCGTGACCCGTGATGTTATTTCCATTGTACACCACGGAGAAGTTTATGTAAGTAAGTAACCCATTGCTTTGTTGACACGGTTTGAATCCCATCCGACTTAAGTTATGCATTTGTTTTTTGTGATTCTGTTTGATGTTACGAAGTTGCGCAGATCTGTAGGACACAGTGTTTCATTCGCTGCTGAAGTAAAAAGTATTATGTGTTTCTGCCATGTGTTTACAGTCTATGGTCATGTGTTAGGTTAGTTTTTGGAAGAGTTCATCAGCTTTGGGTCTGGCTTTAACAGGACTTTTCCAATGCCATTATACTG